CCCCATTTATTTTCACATTCTGGAAGGAAGGAGGAAAGAAGGAATGAATTTCATACAAAACCCTTTCCTCCAGGCCTCCCATTTTATTCTGTTTCAACCTCAGTCCACATTGCTTCTGCCTGTCCTCCCATCCGAAGGACAAGCAGGAGGTTCTGGAGATGAGCCAGAGGCTGAAGCACCATGTATATTAACCCTCGGCCAGGAACTCCTTACTGTCTGATCAGCAAACGCAGTAGAAGGAAAAAAAAAATTAAAGGACTTTTCTTCCTGAATTTCAGATCCTTTTACCACAATACTCACTGAACCTTCTGAAGTATGTAAACAAAATGGCTTTCTTCAGGCTCAAGGAAAGATTAATATTCTAAAACCTAAAATCTTTAAGATGTAAACATTCTGAAACACATTCACCAAAGACACGTTTAATATAAAAATCCTGAAAGGAGAATCTGGGCTGCTTTTTCCATTTTCTGCAATGCACCAGATTCTACCCTGAGAAAATAACAAATAATTTGTCTCTTAATTCTTTCTGGCCGCTACTGAATCTGCTGTCCTTTCCCAAGGCTTTCTGGTGTCTGCTCAGCTACCCACCACGGGTGCAGAGCAAGATCGGCCCCTGAGAAGACCTAGGAGACCAGATCCAGCCCCGCTTCCCGGGCAAATCAAAACACCACCTCCTCCTCCCTTCTTTCTCATTCCTAGAAACACTCCTTGCTCCCTCTTCAATTCCAGAATTTTACAAGTGTTGTTACATACTCTTTTCCTCTTTCATTTTGTGTCCCCTAAAGTGCTTCCCAAACTTTATTCAAACAGTAACCCTGTTATGAGTGCTTACGAAAACTCAGCTCACTGCAGTGGATGCAAATGTTCTTTGAAAAATAAAACTCACTTTTTGGATATGTGGCTTAAAAGGCTTTCATAAGGAATTCATCAATTATCGTTAAAAATCACACCAACGTTAAAAAAAAAATTCACACCAACATTAATAGATGATAGGCACTTAGATGCTTTTTTTTCTATGAAAGGCTAGAGAGGAAATATGTTTACTTTGGGGACCAGACCATATGGTCTCTGTTGCAACTACTCAAGCCTCCCCTGTAGCATGAAAGGCGTAACAGACAATGTACACAAATGAACACAGCTGTCTTCCAATAAAACTTTATTCAAAAACAAGCAGCCATCTGGATTTGGCCCATAGGCCCTAGTTTTGCTCACCCCTGACCTAGAGAAATACCCATAGTTCAGCTGTGGTGAATTACAACAATGGAAGAAGTTTAAAATGTTACAAGGTTGGTGGCTGACAGTTGTACTGTCACGGTAATAAAGGTATCAGAGATAATGACCTAAGAATAATTTTTAAAAAGTAACTTTTAACTCACCATAGCCCAGGAAACTCGGGCCAGCATAATCAAGAAGATGTGTTTGTTAACAAAAACTGGTAAACTGACAAAACTTAGAAAACTATTCTATTTGAGGGAAACAATGTGGAAAACAGATGCTCAGAGCCTCTACATAAAAAATGTGATTAATGAGCATGAGTAAGTTAGGTCTGTCCCCACGGCATCGTGTGTGACTTCATCCACAAGGGGAGTGACCGCGTTTGGACCATCATTCAGAAGGTGCTACACGCTGGTCCTAGGGCGACCAGGAAATTCTCACTCCGAAGTCAGATCTTAGACTGTTCAGTCCACTATAATCACAAGCTTCACATTATGAAAATAGAACAGCAGGGCACGGATGTGTGTGTGTCTAGACAGGAGCCACTGCTGTCCATCTGCAGGAGGTGGACTCTAACGGCTTTGTGACCTCACTCTTGCTTTCCTCTCTGGTCCCATCAAGTGACATCATCCACCCTTCTCAGACCTTCCAAGTTTCTCAGAATGCATTCGCCCTCCTCTCCAGGCCTTTGCCCACGTGGTCCCATCCTCCTGGGAAGTCCTCCCTTCAATCCCCTTGTCAGGCTCACTACCACCCACGCTACAGGTCTCCGCTTAGACCCTGTTCTCCCAGGAAGCCGCCCCTTCGGCTCCCAAGATGCCGCCTGCTTCCTCGTAGGAGCTGAAAAGCTGCCAGTGCCTGAGGACAGGACCCACATCTGTTATCATTTTCCACTGAACCCTCAGTGCTTTGCAGGCTGCCTGATACATGACATGCTCAATATTTGTTGAATAAAATGAACGAACAAACAAATGAATCTCAGTGGCAAAATAAAACTCAAGGTCAAAAAGATCCAAATGATAAATCAGTGTTTTTTGTTAACCAACTAAATATTCTGTCGTCTCTATTTAATCCCCGATATAAAACAAGAAAGGGAAATACATATATTTGCTACGTGCCTCCCAGATAAAAGTCTGTGATTCTATTCATCTGGAGAAAACAAGAACTAAATTATTTTTTTTTTCCTGCAAGTGTTTTATTTTTTTCTCTGCATACATTTAAGCCATCCCTTCTGGCCACCAGGCAGTTAATGTGCTGATTTAGCGTTGCTTCTGACCTCCTGTTCTTGTCTTTCTCCATTAATCCCACCGCATTTTCATGTTTTAATTCGACACATAATTTTACCGTATCAGTCAGCCAAACCTGCTCAAGTTTTACTTGCCACGATAGCTTTTAACCTCTTATTCATTACCATAATTCCATGTTTTATATTACAGACTGGTCAGCTTTTAACTTAAATGCAAGGGGCAGAAAAGAGTGCCATGGTTTTAAAAAGCTGTAAATCTCAGAGGCTAAGGAAGGAGGTGGGCGGAAAGAAAGTGGGGAGTGTGTCAAGCCTGGCTGTAAAAGCAGATCCACGGCACGGGGTGCAGTCTGTCCGAGGAAATACTTCTGCCCTGATTCTCCCCCGCCGCAGAGCCACTCATAAACTGGCCGCGTGTCACAGCCACTTTCTAAGGCACCACGTGGGCCCAAGGACTCGCTCTCAGGCAACCCAGTTAAAAACGAGCTTGTGCACTCTCACTCTGAACTTTTCCAAACTAAATTAAGCCTTCGGATTTTCTATAATGAATTAGTCTCCAGCATCACTGTGGCACGTAAAATACACTTTAAGAAAATGAGACGATTATTTCGAAAGGGCATGGGTTGACAAGGGGATGGATCTGGAGCTCCACTCTTGCCATTTTGTTCAAGCTGGGCAAGGGTCTATGTAGCTTGATTCCTTACTCTTCCTAAAACTTCACTGTCTCTGGACCATTGATGGACTCCAGGATCAGAGACTGTCTGGGTTTTTTTGGCCCGTGAATAGCCACTAGAGTTAGCAGGCACCATGGTTTCGGGGGGGCTGGATCTGCCCCAGCACTTGATTCTCACCAGCCCCGACCTCCTCAGGAGTGACCTGTGGCTCAGTGGAAGCCTGCAGGTGCACCATGACACAAGGGATTTTGGAAAGCTCCCCTTGAGTCAGGAGAGCGAGGAGGATGCTGGACGCCAGGCTGGGGGCCACATCTGAACCATCACCTAGCCAGTAACAGGTCGGTGACGGGCATGGTCCAGCACAATCTCCCCTTCAGCTCTGACAAGCAGTATGTAATGCAGGGTAGGTCTCACCCCACCTGGAAGTTCGCTCAGGGTAACACTGGGTAGCCGGCTCCCAAGAGATATCTTTCTTATCTTTTGTACCTCAGGAGAGGAAAAAGGAAAAGGATACCAAAAAAAAAAAAGTCTTTAAAATCCATAAAGAGGAAGGACAGAATGGCCACTGGGGCAGGGATATGTCTAAGTTACAAACAGGAAAGAGCTAAAATAATAAATGAGGACCCAAATGACAAAACATGGCATAAAGGGACACTTAAATTATCTTCTGTGTCTGTAAAGAAACGTTAACACTCATTTGGAAAAGCATTTCCTATTATGTGAAAGAAACATGACAGCACAATGACAGGCGAAATGAAAGGCCATTCTTCTTTGCACCCACGAGAATAACACCATTCGTCACAGGAGGCCCTGATTCCCACCGTTCAGATAACGCCTGGGGACACGGAGTTCCCTGCGGCTGTGCTTTTACATAACTTATCCTCACTCCACAGGCTAGCACAGACTTTCGGATTCTTCTACAGCAGGTCAGGTGTGACAAGTGTGGGAGACGCTGAGAAAAGTCTGACATGTCTGTTACCCCGCGTGGGTAGAGAAGGGAGAGACTAGTGAGTGATTTGACAGGCAAAACCTGTGAAATGCTTGACCCCAGGAAGACCTCCCTCGTGGCCTGGGGAGAGTGACATGGCTGAGTTCGCTATTCAAAAGCACAAACCTGGCCCAGGAGATGTACAAGGAAGTGATGGCTGCTACCTGCAGCCCAGACATGGGGGACAAAGGGCTGTGCAGAGAATGCAGCCAGGGCTACAACATGGGGAGGTGGAAGCGCTCAGGCCTCGGCCCCGGGCAGTGCTGCTCTCCTGGGAGTGTCTGGGCACATGCAGATGAGCTGTGTGTGTATGTGCAGGTGTGTCTTCCACGTGAGAACTGGGGAATGTCACTGCCACCAGGTGGGTGAGAGCCAGGCTTCCTAAATCCCCTGGTACATGCCAGGCAGTCCCATGGGACGTGGCACCCCTGCTGAGCAGCACTGGAGGAATGGTCCAAGGTTGCCGACTCCCACCCGCCCACCTCCGGACAAGTTACTGGGGTGGGACGGGGTGACGGCATCAGAAGAGCTGATGTGCTGTGGACCAGCCCCTGCTAAGTATTTTTACACAGAAGAAGCCCTGCAAGGGGTATGGGCTGAGCTGGGTCTCATCCCGAGGGCTATCTCTAAATTCCTTGCTGATGGAAAAACATTTCCCTTCTTTGGGCCTCTGTACTTTCTCCTCTATAAAATGAAGGCATTATACTGGATGAGTGGTTCTCAATCTTTCATTTTCAGCAATAAAACTCTCCCCTCAAGTGGAGCGGCAACTTAGAGCACAGGTAAGAGGGGAGATGCTTTGGTTTTCGGAGAAGCCCCCCTTCTCTAAGGGGTGACCCCCAGGCATCTCCCTGAACCCGGGTTCCAGAGAACTTGGTTTGGGAAGGACCACACACAGCTGTTGAGAGCCCTTTAGACACTATGTTCTAAGTTGAAGATAGGTGGACAAGAGGTGTGTATGTGGTATGAATAAACGGCAGTGGTTTGGTGGAAAGAATTTGAAAACACAGAATCCCAACCCTTGCACCCGCTGCTCTGGAGTCTACAGCCAAGGTGTTTGTAAACCTCTTGCATTCCACTTCATCTACAAAATGAGAGTAATTCCACCAACTCACAGGGGTGTTAGTAAGATCAGAGGTGAAGTGCGCTTCCACCAGCATCTCCTCGTGCTCACTGGGGCTGGCCACGGTGCAGGCACGATTATTTGACTACATTCTTACTACAGTTCTAGAAGGAAGCTGTAGTACTTACTGTATCTTTTGTTACATATGGGTGAGCCCCTCAGTTAAGCTGGGAGGGGCCAGAGTGAAGAAATAAAAGAAACAGATCTGGCCTCAAATGATTTCATTATGGTTTGCCACAAAGTTCACCAAAGGACACTGAAAAGTCTCCCTCCAATGTGGGACACCTAGCTTCGCAATGTTACTAAATGACATGGTATTTCACTAAGTAGCAAAACCGAAATTACAGGGAACACTGGGAATTACACAAACATTTCCCAGAGAGTCTGAGATGGCACCTTATCTTGCTTTAGAGAATTCCTGACACATACGACTCTGCCTCCGTTTTAATCAACACTAAAACGCATTTGCCAATTAAATAAAAGAAGCATCCACTCCCCCCACCAAGTTAGGGTCCAGCTAAGTTCTGGCTCCTCGGGAGCCCAGACAGACCGACAGAGTCCCCGAGCCCAGCCCCGTGCGGACGTCAGCGCCACACGCGTCTCCCCCCGGCTAGAAAGCAGAGCCGACTCACGTGCCCAGACGCTCCTCGTGTTTTTTGCTGTCCTTTCCCCACACTTCAATGTCCAAAATGCCCATCCTGTCAGAGAAGTAGTGAAAGTCAAACTGTTCCCGCCACTGCGGATTTGCACTCTTACACAGTGTCTAGAAAACATGCAGTTATAATATTTATTGTCTTAAAATGGCATTCACGGCTACAGCAGCTACACATTCATTTCATTTCTAAACCGCAGGAGACCATAACGGCAGGCCTCTCTCTTACCGAGTTCAAGTTTTCTTTTTGGAACGACAGGGACGTCGAGGTTACAGGAATTGGTAAAACATCATACTCTTTAAGCTGACCCCCAGATTCACCCATTTATCCACCACATTAGAGAAAACAGTTACCCCATATGGTTTCTTATACATATAAAATATAACACCTTTATAATAATGATTATTGACATGTTTTCTTATATATAAACTGTGTGTGTGTGTGTGTATATATATAGCTAGATAGATAGATAGATAGATACACAATGTACCACAAGAGACACCTGGCAGTTGTCCTCTCTTATAGAAGATACTATAACTGGCTAATCAAACGCAAGTGACATTTTTATTGGCACACCCGTCCAGTGCTGGCTTAAGAACGATACACATTAAGTTTGGGGTCTTCATTAACATCTGTTAAATGCACTGCACGAGAAATCCGTTAACTTGAACGTTGCTGCCTAGTTTTAAATCCGAGTTTACTGACTCCAGTCACTAGAGTGAGAGGAAGACTAGGAAAGTCCACTGCAGCCAAAGCTCAAAATGAACAAGCATGGTTTGAAAACGCCACACGTGTGTCTGTGCTCCTCCAAGAGGGACTGCAAACTGCGTATGTGTTCAATGCGTTGGCAGGACTTTGATTTTCGTTTCATTTACATAGAGATTCAACTTTTGAATTAAAAAATGAGCAAAACTGCGGGCCACTAGGTATGAGGCTCTCAGCACACAGCGCCAGCTATGAAATCCCAGGGCCAAGCATCCCCGAGTGGGAAACAGGGGCAGCTCACACCTCAGCTGCAGCCAACATCACCCAACATCACTGACACTGTTTTTCATCGTCATTGGGCTTAAATATATCAGAATCCAGAATTTAGGCAAAAAAAAAATCCTATTAGACCACAAATTAAGTACCACATTCCCCAAGGGGGAACAGAACTGATATGGGACTAATTCTATGCTTCCCCTTGGTCTAAAGGGCTAAGTGTGCTCAGTAATGGAAAATTTCCCCGTTAGTCCTTAGCCCGACCCTGGCTGGCAAACGGAATCTTAGTGGAGAGCAGTGGTTATCCTGGATACACTCCTGTGAGATACGGCCTGGAACTACCTGGTTAACATAACTATCTATTTATTTCTGCCTTAACTAGCCTTCCATTTTTCACATTTCTAACAATAAACGATTCTTCAACCTGAGCTTCAATTCTCTACTCCTTGTGCTGGAGTAAATGACATTTAACATTTGATTTTGCAGCGAAACCTGTGTGGCAGAGACACCCTTTTGCCCCAATTCATTTTCCAACTCGTCTGCATCAGCTATGGCCTCTATACTGGAAAAGCCCAAACTGTAGATAACCTCAGGCTTCTTTTCAAAAGCTCCCACTGTTGTTTTTTTGTTTCTGGTTTTTTTTTTGTTTTCTATGTGGCTTTTGGCAAGTGACTTAACTTCCAAGTACCCTAGCTCCCTCGATCCATAAAACATAAGAAATATTCCTGTCTGACAGTTATGTAAAGCTAATTAATTACCATGGTGTGGAGACTACAGTTTTTGAAATAAAAAACACACCAAATTACTAAGATTAAAAATTAAATGGAATTTGGATCAGCAGAATAAGACGACCGATTTTTAAAGACAGCTAAAAATGCCATTACTTTTGTAAACAAATCACTTTTAATACTTTAGCTTTTTTTAAAATCACAGCAAAAATTAAAAAAAGCAGCAATAGGTGACTATTTTTGGTGTTAGTACTAACAAGTCAGAGAAAGCAAAGAGCATACAATTTTGAGAATATTTTTAGTTATCTCCAATATTTTAACCCAAACACAACATATTATGCTATTTTATTTTTGGAGGATTCTGAAAACATTCAGGAATCTTTTCCCGCATTCTATGAAACACAGCTTGCTTATTTCCAACGTGGAAATAAATCACGCATTCGAGTCTATTATTTGATGAGTTTTCTGTAGCTCTAGTTACTATATTAAAATAAATTACACTAAGCAATCAAATACCCTTATCAGTAGGCTGCATCTATACAATTATTTTGTTTTCTGAGATGCTTCTAATACCTTTGGGAGGGTTAAAAATAAATTCTGTTCTGGCGAAATTTGGAGTGGGAAAACTTTTCTTTTTCCATTTTTTAAAAATCTTACAGATACTGTTATCCTTAAAGGGTTGATGGAACTTACCTTACTTTTATACCTCTGGTCTCCCAGTTTTAACTGGACAAACATCTCTGTCATACTTCCTCCTGAAACATTCCTCCCTTCCAACAGAGTTATACTTATAATCCCGTTCCAGAGTTGGTTCTTTCTCAAGGTCTCTGAGAGCCGCAGGTTGCGTATCAGAGAGGACTAAAGCGAAACACAAAGAGGACACGTCAACTTGCTGATAATTCTTGAGTGCGACTTTGGCGATCAGAGGAATTCCAGCTTTCAATACGCGATTATAAGTAACACTCCCTGCCTGCTGAAAGCGTCCTTAGCCCTCGCTGGTTCTGCAATCACAGCTCTGTGGTTTCCTTCTCAAGCCCCGGGCTTGAAATGGACCGCGAAGGACGAATTCGAATGAAACTCGGGTTTGGTGCCGGCCTGCTGTCCTCCCACCCAGATGTGCTCTCTGGTAGGAATCCTTCAGCTGGGCCTTCGGCTGTTTTAATGGTAGGAAGGGAAGAAGGGCATTCTGGGAGGCGGAGGTATAAGAACACGGCAGAGCCCTGCAGGGAAACAGAACCCCTCTGGGCATTTAGAAATAATGGCTTTGAATTCATCCTTCACACTTGAGCCTGTCTCCACTTCCCTTTATTCCTTGGGCTACAGCTAAAAAGCCTAACACCACTGTGAGATTCACAGCTCCAGAGGGAGCCTGTAATCGGCCAGCCAGCCAGATGAGCTTAGCAGACCTGGGGAGAAGGGAAGGATGGATAAAGACCACGGCCCAGTGCCTGGGACCCAGTCATTGTTACCTTATTTTTTTTTTCCTTTTCTACGTTACATTACTCACTCACACACACCTTAAACAGAATGCAGAGAAAGGGCAAATATCCCCTATTATTAAATTATAAAGAGGACAAGCAGACTTTATTTATTTCTAGTTTTCATTATGGAAATTTTCAAACATACACAGAGGTAGAGAGAATAGTATATACTCAACCTCCACGCACTTATTCACCAGATTTGACATTTGGCAAATCTTATTTCATCTATCCCTTCACTATGTTTTTTCCTCCTGGTTGAAATTTTGAAAGCAAAATCCCTTTTTGTTCTTACATAAGTAGCATGCCAGATGCCAGGACCACAACTCCACACAAGTCACCTCAATTATCTTAGGGTTGTCAAACACCCAGGACGCATTCACATTTCCCTGAAGGTCCCACTGGTGTCTTTTAATGGTTAGTTTGTTGGAGTGAGGATCCTAACATGATCCACAGGCTGCGTCCAGTTGGTGGAGTTCATTCATGGTCTCCGTTTGATAAGTGACATGGCCCGAACACGGACAACTTCATTTGAGGGAAGACACGCGGGAGATGTCAAGCATTGCAGGAAAACAATGAGGTTCTAACACTGCATATTCATTCCTATCACCTGCTCAGCACATCTTCGAGATCACTGAGGCATCCTTGTGCTGGGATACCCGTTAGTCACAATTTATCACAACAAACGGTACGTCAGTGCCATATTAATTATACGCCCGCTGACCTCATCCAACACACGATGCCCCATCACTCTTACTAACGGTGCCAAGCATTTCGTTGATCCTTTTATGACTCCCTTAAGTGAAGTCCATTTAAGGAAATCCATACTCCCGATTTCATATCCGTGTTAACTTTTCACTTGAAATTGAAATCCGCACATACATGCACATGCACACACACATACAAAGGGGTTTGGAGGCACTGAGACAGGGCAAGGATAGGAGATGGGAAAGGAATTAATTTAAAAGGAAGAAAAAGAAAAACCCTCTCTTCTGGAGAACACGCACAATTCTTTCTCTAACTTCTTGCAGTTGGGTTGTAGATAGAACATATTCCATAATGAAGGTTTATGAAATAAAGTTAACTAATTTTATATCTGCTAAAAACAACACACACCATCACAGTATGTAAACAGATACATAGATGTGTTTACAATCTGTATGTGTGCACATAAATGCAGATACATGTAACGCATTCTATAGCTTATTAAGTACACGGGCTGAAAACGTCTATCTTCAAAAAGAAAATGAGATTTTGATTCATAGGTCCTGTTGCAATTTCCTTTTTTATTTTTTCTTCTTCAAGTTTGACTTGCCAACCAACAAGCTAAAGCATGACCTGTCCCATGGCCATGCTTCAAAGTTCCGACAGATATATTCCTCCCCAAACACTGCAACTCTTTCAAAATCCTTTTTCTAAAGAAGGGAGTCAAGTCCACCCAGGATCAAAGGGCATCCTACAGTCTGGCAATTGCCTGAGAAAAATGGCAGTGCTTTCCATGAAATATGCTCTAAAATAATTTTGTGGCTTGGTATGTCCTAATTTCAAATTGGATGTTTATCTTGGAAAGGCTTCTATCTAACTTGTCCATAAAACAGCCCCACTTAGCTCTATGAGCTCTGTGAAAATGGAATCCGAAGCTGGTTATTAAGGGGGCCCAGAGATAGGTTCCATATGGCGGAACAGCATGGGAGAGCATGGCTAGGGCCTCCATCAGGCCCGGCTTGGCTGGAGCTCCTGATCTATCCACGGACACTCGTTGCATTAGGCTGTAACATCTGGATTATTGCTTGTAATGTCCCTGGGAAATATCCACTTTCCATCAAAGCCTTTATCTATCTCAGTCGGACTTTGAACATTTCAGTATTTAACGCAGTCATGTTTGATGTGACGGACTTGCTCTTTGCTGTCCAAGTTTTTTTTTTTTCCTCCTTACTAAAGGCAGGGTAGGAAAAGAGAAGTATTTATTGCACAGCACACAGATAGAAAAGAACACAAGACCTTTATTCCACTTATTTCACCTTAAATTATCTCTGCAAAGCCCACCGTTAGGTTATGTCCCAGTAAAGTTTCATCTGCAAGCGATGTAGTCTACGATGCCTGTATGAGCTTTAAAGACGTTCTTAATTACTTGCACATTTCTCTTCCACCCTTGAGACCCGGGATGAGGCTTTAGAGCTCTGTCTGTGGTTGGGGGCGGCGTCTGGACCATCCTGTGTGAGCTGGGACTCAGAGCCGGGCTCTCAAAATCTTTGGTGCTCTTCGAACACTCCCTTTTTCCCGGCCATAAATCAACTCCTCTGCACTCACTCTGTTAGCTCAATAGCTTGGGTTTTCGCGTCTGTGCCCGAGACTATAAGTGAAATTTGTCATCTTAATGCAGCTTGGAATGTGAAAGGAGAGAAGGAAATGACCCATCAGAGGAGGAGCCCATCCCCCTGAACTGCAACAAACACTGGGAGACAGAGCAAAGCTTCTGGGTCCTGACCCTCATTTCTCAGCAGACATAACGGATAAAATACAGTACATCAGGGTTTGGTTATTTCTCTCCCTTCTCCCAGGGGATCAGAACCTTTTACTATTTCTATGAAGGTTCATTCATAGGCTCTCTCCTCAGCCCTCACCCTGCCAAACCCACACCCATTCGTCTAAACAGAAAGGGTGACTTTCCTCTGAAACACACAAGTCAGTTACGACCAGTGAAGATAAGGTGGGGTTCTTCACTTAGAAATATGCTGGCTTTTGTAAAACATGCAACAGATTCCAAAACATTAAGTTACTTCTGGGTTATGAAAATTTCACCGGAAAGAAAGGGAGAGAGACGGGAAGTACAGACACTTCTGCTCCCTTCCAACAGGTGGAGAAATCTTGGGGGGGTTTCATCTGGGAATAAGCTCTCAAAGCAGTGAACAGATTGTCCATCCAGGGACCTATAAAACTGATTGCAGCTTGGCGACATACATTATTGGAGGATTTGGGCCAAGTGACATGCTGTGCTGGTTGGTGATGTGGACTCCAGGACCCTGATTTCTTGGTGGAAACCTCAGGATGATGGACATGTCAGTCCAGTGCCTCTTGTCTGTCCTGGGCCAGAAAGAGGGGCAGACAGGTCAGGAGTAAAGAAAGATCCTGCAAGAAGGACACGGAGTCCAGGAGCTGGGGCCACAGCCTGTGTCACCAAAAGCAACATGACATTCAGCGATGCCACGGTCCAGAAGCAACTATACTGACAAATACCATGGGCTAATGATTCAAAGCACTCCCATGGGTAAACAAAACACGAAACAGTACAAAAAATTTTTAAATTCAAAAGAAAGGCATTGAGAAAAGGCTTCCACAAGATTTTTCTAATAAATAGGCCTACCGACTGGTGCCAAACGTGGTACGGATACTTTTTAGGTCATCTCAGTGATGGAAGTTGAAAAAAATATGTGTTCCAACGCTGCCAATGCAACTTATTTTGACTCCAATTATTTTTCCTGAGTCGCTGTGAAAAAGTAGGTAGTCAGTGGAGACAAATGCATGGGGTGCAAAAAAAGAAAAGAGCTCTCTTTATAAGCAAAATGGATAGTAAACAAGATCCCAGTCACGTTGGCAATGCTTGGGAAAACGAAGGGAGAACATTTAGTCTATAAAAGGTTTCCCCGAAACAGCCCTTTCAGGCTTTTGCAGCATGTAAAGCTACTGCTCATTGTCAACAGCTTTTACAGCATGACATGAGAAGGTCCGCACATTCATGCAACAGGCTTCCAGAAAGTTCCTACCCGGCAGCTCCCTATATCATCTGAAGAGAACCCTGCAGGCATAAATTCTCCTGGAAATACACAAAAATCTTTGCATAGGACACAAAGAAAGCCTTCTAAACTTCCCACAGGAGCATGGACATGGAAGATGAGATTTATATTTGTAGGTGAAAACTCTACCACAGACCCGAGGATGTACAAACACATGAGCTATAAAAAAATTATATTACTTTTTAACGATGAGGGGATATCCCTGCTCAATTTCTTGCACTTGAAAATAAAAATCAGATGAAAAAAAATAGATAAAGTCTATAAAGTCTCAATGACTCTCAGAGTTTAAGATCCAGGAGGAAAAACATGAAGGCCATATGATTTGAGAAGATTTTCCTTTTTGCCCTGACTTCCAGGAAGCTCAAGATTAAATGTTGGGCTTATATGCAATCATATTCATCCTCTGGTTAGTTCTTGATTGACGTGTGTCATCCTGCTGGCTTTCACGTCTCTGTTCCATGTTTCTATGTCTCCCATTCACTTAAAATAGGTCAGGGGCACCCCCATCCAGGACTGGGACTAGAGTGAGTTCAGGGAAGCAGTCGGGGTGAAGAATCTAAGGAGGTGCTCACTCTCGGGCTTCTGTGAGGGCAGGGCTGGCCCCCAAGCCTGAGTGCCTGCTCACATTGCTCACCTTAATCCCAGCCAAACTGCCCTACGAGACCTGCCCCTCATGGCATCTCGGGCTTGGTGTCCTACAGTTCCCAGCATCCCACATCAGACCCCAGTCCACACCAGTGGTTCCCAAACATGCATGGGCTTTGGAGTCACCTGGAGGGCTGGCTAAAAGACTGCCGGGCCCCACTCCAGGGTTTCCAATTCAAGAGGGGGCACACATTTGCATTTCCAACAATTTCCAGGTGATGCTGATGCTGCCGGGCCAAGCAGTCTGCTTAGAAAAGCCAATCATTTGGAGCTGGTAACAGTTTGGTGCCCTTGCCATACACTGTGTTATTTTATAGATGTCAGGTCTCAGTCCACTGCCTCCTCCGATCTGGTGAGACTCACTGCAGTCAGCTTTCTCTGAAAGCTTTCTCTGCCCCCAGCCTTCAACCTGCCCACCTACCTGCAAAGCCAAGATAAGGGTCTAATCTCTGAATACCCTCATCTCTCTACACTCATCTCTCCTAAGAACCCATCAGTTAGGACGGCCAAGCCTTATTCATCTCCGAATTCCCAGGACAGTATTCCTGCCAATACCAGTGTGTTCAGTGAGAGATGTTTGGCCAAAACTGATTCTAATGTCATTGAGAAGAGAGAGATTTGAGGAACGGTTTTGGAAAGCAGTGGCTCTGTTCTTCTGGGCTGGAGCACACACAAGGTTTGACATTTCTAATAGATTCATGGTCCTACCTGAGCATGACTAAGAGCTGCAAACAGACGGGGCCGGCAGAGCCAAAGGCAAAAAGAGAAAGTGGGAAAGGGGAAAGAAGACAGGGAGGGCTAAACCTCAATTCGTGTAGAACCCTCCCATGTAATTCATGACTCTTACAAAGTCATGACACTAAAAGAAGTACCAGAAAAGCCTAAAGCAAGAGCGGAGGCCCTATATTTTGTAGGGGCATCCAACAGGAAAAGAGAGCCTTTCCAGGTATTGAGAACAGAGAACTGGTCTCACAGGGATGGACATGCTGAGACTCCAGACAGAGAAGACAGAGATCACGAAAGTAAGTGACTGTGGACAGCGGCCAGCACTCCTGGGCTGACGCAGCGGAGAGCAAACTTTTTCTGTAAAGGTCCAGATGGTAAGAATTCAGGTCTCTGTCCCAAATACTCCACTCTGCCATGTTAGCCAGAGGTGATGCATTCCAATAAACCTTTACTTGCAAAAGCAGACGCGGGGCTGGATCTTGCACTCAGGCTCAAGTTCAACCACCCTGGGGCTAGAGAGACAACAAAAAGAGCCAATGCCAGGTGGTAGAAGCTGGTAGAAGCTGAGATCACAGGAGGCCAGGCTAATGGAAGATGCAAAGGGTCCCAGACGTCTGAGACACCATGGGAAACAGGGAAAGGGGAGAATTCCTCAGCTTCCTCCTTTTCCTGCTCTATGGTACCCTACCAGTCCCTCTCACTGGACACAGCCAGCTGGAGGCCACCTGACGGGGGACGGAGAAGATGTACCCTGCAGTGATCGGCCTCCTCAAGAACAGGGAGGAAGAGAGATAGATGAATATGAAGCCAAATGGGCATCACTAGTCAACCAGTTTCATACAGAAAAAAATACTGCACCAGTACAGGGATGTCTTCTACCTTACCTGGAGGAAACACGACGCCATGAAACAGTGGGTCAACAATGGGTTAGAACAGATTCTGCATCTCAGTGCAAATTCATCTAAAATAAATAAAATCCGTAACTCAAAGGGCACTCTGGTCAGTCAGAACCCAGCCCAAACGGAAGTGCAGAGGGGGTGTGCGTATGTGTGTGCAGATTTCTGAACACCAAGAGCGATCTGTCCATTCCATTTCTTATCACTGTGCTTTCATCCCAGTCTCCAATTTGATGTAAGACAAGTAACTGTTTTTGTTTTTCTATTTCTGTAACTGTTACACACATTAGAAAGAGAGAAGTGAGGTTTGGAAACAGATCTATTCACAGAAGAGATGATGCATTGTAAATTTCTCAAGAAGAATCAGTTATCAGAATTCAGGCCCTTTTCAATCAAATTTTCAGTTCTCTCTTCAAAAGGCTCATCAGAAAGGAAACAGAGGCTTCTGGATGAAACCTAAATCTATTTTTTAAGGGCAACCTCTACGTATTTACTATTTTAAAATCAAAGTCAGTATTAAAATCAAGGGGACACTTTAGAAGACAGTGCACAAAGACCCTGCCATTCTAAGTCCCTTTGGAGGATGCAGAATTATAAACTTATGGGTTTAAGAAGCAATTATTTAAATAAAGTTAAGTTATTACAAGAATAAGATTGAGGTGAAAGGGGCAAGGACCTTTCCTAGGTAATCCATCACTGAGGACTAGTAAAATGTTTAGATCCTCATAGCTAAGTAATCTTCTTTATGTCAAACTTCTGTTACCTCATTTTTAAATATAATATGGAAATCCTAAAAAAAAAAAAAGAAGCTTAGAGTTTAAAAATACCGAGATAGGTTGATCAGGGTATTTTAACTACTTTCACAGAGGGTTCATCGCTGCGTCTACAGAACGTCCACGTGACTTCATTTTCATAAGCCAAATTAGAAGCAATCTCTCTTTCCTCTCCAAAACTGCCAACTCTAAGGAGCAAAAAGTCAGGGTAACGTTTGAAATTCTTCACCAATGCACAAATTGCATCTCTCCTGTTCAACCATGAGTAGCTTTCAAGGAGCTCTATTCATGTCTGGCTTCATTAAACATACATACTAGGTTTGGGCATTTATTAAGTCTCTGAGCCCAGCGCACTGAAGTCAAAATTCTAGAAGCTACAGTGAGAGGGAAAAAAAAGCAGATGGCAGCTCGGTGGAAAAGACACAACTCCGCCGTCCAGATATAAATACTGCTCTCCAGGACCCTCTGTTCCCTTCATATTTTTGATATCTTCATCCCGGCCGTCAACATTTTTTCTCTCCCTCCTCATGCCTTTGGCCCTTCTTCCATAACCTCTCCCGCCCTCCCTAGACTCCAATATTCCCCAAGCTCACAATTTTTCTTCCCAGCCTTTATGTTCTTCCACAAACTGCCAGGGCTCTTCCACAGGCCGGAGCTCCCTAACTAAAGATGGTTATTGATGTACCCTACCAGTGTTTTAGTGCAGCAGCAGAATCAATAAACCAGAAAATACTGCTTTGTCAGGCTTGGCCAGAGTGTGCTGGGGAGCTTTACTGCTTCGGATGGTTACAGAAACTCCGAGCACGGGAGAGGGAGAGCCGGGCTCCCCTCCGCGGACAGACGTGATGCTCTCCTACCCTCTAGTGACTACAAAGGAATAAGACAAAAGTTGGAGGCATTTTTGAGACTGCATCACAATGATGACTTATTGGCTCTTAATTTTATTTCTAAAACGAACCAGAGGCTTGGAAACCCTGTGAACTGGTGGGGTAATAAAGTATCTCAGCCTAGTTATTTTTAAAGTACTCCAAACACAAAGGATATGCACTTTAGGAAGAGTCAGAACTTTTGAGTCCTTTGGATTTTAAAAAGCGAGGTTTGGAAAGTTTGCCTTTCTTCTTAAATGACTAGTTCTAGTCAGGTTCCAAATCTCATTTTCTCTCCCTTTCTCTTCTTTCACATACACACACTCTTACAAACTCACGAAATCTTTGTTTCAATCTCCTTATTTTACAGAGAAGTAAATAACCAAAGTGCAGCGAGGTTGGAGAACAGAGCCGGCATACGTCTGGGTGCCTGTGTGTGTTTGTAAATAAATGCACATACAGGGACCGCCAACACGCCCCTCCTCAGACACAGACACATCCCAGCCACCTCCACGTGGCTTACCCCTTTTTTAAAAGTAACAGAGCTGCTGAATTAAGTCATAAATCATTTTGGGGGGTTTCATTTGTTTACCTCTATACTAATTTTGACATTCAGTCACTCCAGTCACAATGTGCCAACTTTATAACCTGATATTTTAATAATGCACTCCTACCTTGCTACACTTAGACTTTTTATAAGTTGAACCGAAGTGTATAATTGCTTCAAAGATAATAACAGTGTGAAAAATCACCAGTATTTCAGGAAGGAATCTTTAAAGAAACTTTCACCCAAAAAAAAAAAAAGGTAAAAAATAAAAGTAATGTTAAAAAAAGATTTATAAAATATCCCACTCATTCCCCTCCATTCATCTTTTCATCACCCCTATAACACCAAAGCTGGTTTCCACCTAATGGTAAATAACTTCCTAAAGGACTAAATCTAACCACACTCCACTCCAAATAATTCAAGCTTAATGAAGTGGAACATTCTAACATGGCCGGTACATATAAAATGTCACCTCTAAAACAAGTGTCAGTTCAAACATCTGGCTATGCCCTTATTAAATGAAATTTTAAAGGAGAGATTGCTTCATGTTTATTCTTAACAGCAGCAAGAGGCAAAGAAAGCGGGTACACATAAAGGTTGGCTGCTATCAGCCATGCATACATTTGTGTTTGCTACAAAGATAAAACTTTTTAACCAAATGATGTCAAGAGAAAAACAGCTGTATTTACCTTGCTGGCACTTAACCGCTTCCGATTGGACCAACGCTAAGGATTATGTCCGTTGAACGATGGAAAAGAGCAAAATAAAAGAGAGAAACAGGGCCGTTAACAACGGGATTGTATTATCATGTTAGACGGTGCAGAATGCATTACAGACAATGGACACTCAAGTTCTGAGGCTACAGAGAAAATACATTTGAGCAAGAAAGTAATTAGAAACAGGAAAAAAAATCACATTTCTGTGGTGTGTTCCCACATCTCCCAATATCCAATAAGGAACAGACAAAGACATACAAATACTGCTCAGTCCTTACAAGTATATTCATGTTTTTATTTGCCTGAAAACACTATAATTTTACTGCTAAAAGCAAACTGGAAAGGCAGATTTCTCCTTCCTAAAATATTCCGATAGGCTGATGAAAATGTTTAAGAAAATCATGGCCAAAGTTAGTTTATGTTCAGGTTTCCATAGTTGTCGATACTAGGGGAAAAAAAGTGACTCCATTTTCCTCTGCTGATTAAATCTCAACATTCAAAATAATAGGGAAAAGCAATCTGGGTCATTCCTGCACGGTTAAGAAAAACAGGCTCATGCAGCACTGAGGGAGGGAAGGAAAAAGGTTCTGAACAGCAAGGAACTCCACCACCGTGTCTTTGATCTCTCATTTGTCATGCTAAGGCGTTGGAATTTCGGCTACAATTAAAATTCTCTCCTAACAAAATCCTCTCATTACTCCTGTCACCGTCCAGCACTGTGAAGCTCTACTCTGGCTGGTTAACCAGCTAACTGGATGTTAAAAGTTGGATAAATTCGGGAGATTACAACTCAATTATGAGTCTCATCGAGCAGACCACGTGAACTGCTATGCTTAAGGAAAAAGTACCTTTAGGCAGATGACCTATCCACTTTGCCAACACGTCTCCCCGATAAATTAGAAACCAGAAAATAAACAGTCTTTGGGGGAAATCCACTTATATTCCAGTGATCAGCAACTAGAAATGCTAGTACAGAAATGACTTTAAAAATATTCGTTAAAAACACTCCCCCCGGTGAAACTGAAAGTTTGCCACCCAGCACACGACACAGAGGTAGGGGTACTACATTCTGGGTGCGACAATCAGTTCTTTCTGTATTTTCCCAACAACAAAATTGACAAATATTTCCACCCAAAACCACCACTAAAATTCATTACCATCTTATAGGCATACACGTGGCTATTCCTAAACAACTTTATCTACCAGATGCTCAGCACTACATTTGATAATCTTGATCCTCACAAACCTATACAGCAGATGATCTTTGTTTAAAATCCCCATTTCACACCTGAGGACATTGTGGCTGAGAGACGTCGAGGAGTTCTGTGAATCTAACCGGATCACTTCACCTCTCAAAACTGAAAAGCAGCAGAGTCGGGATTCAAACCCAGGTTGTCTGATGACAGAGGCCATAGTTCTAACTACAATTCCATTTTTGCCAAGAAAAAAGAGACAGAAAGCAGGTCTGTCGGTCTTCCAGGCAGCACCTTACCTTCGAACTACAAACACGCCCGTGTGCACTGAAATCCCTGGACATGAGGGTGCATTCACGGGCTTAATGCAGATGTTACAATTTTTATCAGCTTGGCTCTAAAGCAACAAAGACTGCCTCACTGATGACAGGAAGAAAGTTGGGTACAAAACCCAGACTGCAAATCGAAATCTCTCCACCAGGGTTTAAATTAACACGGAAACTTACAAACAAATTATCCGTAAATAACCTCAAGTTTCCTGTGTTAGGTATCCCCGTTTAAAATCCCAATATAAGACTATCCTTGGGGAGTGGGAGGATATAGCACAGTGGTAAAGTGTATGCTTAGTGTGTGTGAGGTCCAGGGTTCAATCCCCAGTACCTCCAATAAAAAAAAATCAAAATAAGAAATTTTTTAAAAAAGGGTATCTTTAAATATTAACTTCAACTCAATGAAAAGAGCAAGAATTTTCTGATATTCACTCTATCCAAAGGGCCCCCGCGATGCACTGTGTGTTGAATAACCACACGTGGCCCAGGAGGAAGCATTCCTTGCTCAGGTACACTTTAATCAACTATACAAATAGCAGAATAATACTACCAATCAGTACAAATGAGGGCAGGCAGGGTTTTCTACAATACCCCAAAAAATATACAGATAATAAATACAACGTACAGAAGGCCACTGCTGGGCAGGCAAAAAACAAAGAAAATGAGAAACTGTGTGAACACACAGATCTCACGCACAGTCGAAAAAGTTCCAAAAACAGGAGGGGAGGGAGTCCAAGGAAATAAAGGGCCAAACTAAGATGACAGGGGGAAGGGTGTAGCTCAAGTGGCAGAGCGCATGCTTAGCACGCATGAGCTCCTGGGTTCGATCCCCAGTACATCCTCTAAAAATAAACAAACCTAATTACCTTCCCCCTCAATGCCAAAATAAAATAAATAATATAGTAATAAATAAATACATTTTTTTTTAAAAAAACAAGAGTTAAAAAAAAAACTAAGATGACAAATGTGGCTCCTTTTAGGGCTCTGAAAAAGGTGTTCTCTGAAATGTTTTCCAAAAACAAATTGAAGCCGCATCGGGTATTAACTGCTCTGCAATTTGAAATACATTTTAATAGAAATGGCACTGCTTAAAAACTCCAAATTTTGGCAATATTTAAATATATGTTAAGTGCCAGTATTACTGCTCAACATGATCCACTACACTACAGAAAAATTCCCAAGCGGAATAAATATGCAGCTATCTTCATGAGGTCATCATCTAACTTGACAAACCCCACTTATATGTGTAATAAATTTCAGAACTTAAATCAGCCGGCAATTGCTCGACCATGTGGCAAAGAATTCTTATTTACATTGCATGTTATTTTGAACCTGGCATCCAGATCAAGGGACCGGTCACCTGCTGGATGCACTGGCACTGAATCTGATGGCAATACCTTCAAGACTAAGAGAAGTTAAGGGAAATCCCTCCTTCATTATGTTGGAGGGTGGGATTTGCCATCTATAAAATACTAGATATAAAATATTACTCTATATAAAATGGATAAACAACAGGGTCCTATTCTGTAGCACAGGGAACTATATTTGATGCCTTGTAATAGCCAATAATGAAAAAGAATATGAAATGGAATATATACATACATATGTATATAACTGAATCATTGTTCTGTACACTGGAAATTGACACAAAAGTGTAAACCGATCATACTTCATAAAAAATTTTTCTTAAATAAAATTTTTAAAATTACAAAAAAAACAACATCAACAGAAGACATTTTAACATCAAAATATCAAGTTTGAACAGCGCTACTTCTTAAACAATTACTAAATGGAGGTCTTCCTCACCCCCTACCAGTTATCAGCAAGTAAATACTCATGAGTAAAGAATTCAAATTACAAATACCAACTGTTTAGTTGACCCTCTAGCAACTGAAAAGTCACTGTGCAGCTCCTTTGTGCTCCTTTAAGCTGTCTTCAGTGTTTTCACTAGTAAATCAGCCATGATTTTCATCATGAAAATAAATTACAACTAACAGCAAAGGTGATGTCAAAATGAAGAATATTCTCCACACTGACCCCACTGACTCAATTCAGGAGGTACTATTGGAGCCTAATTTATAAACAGGCTTCAGGTTTTTATACCAGATTCTAAACATGCTTAAATTTTAACACATCTTAGTCCTTTTTCAGCTGGCTGCTTTTAGTTGGCTTTTAAAGCACCTTTCAAATAAGTTACAGTCAAAGATGCTTTCGTTTCCATTTTAATTCTTGGAACTGTAAATTACAATCCCAGCATATAACGTAAGATTATGGTTTGTAGTCACATATTTGCTCCTAAAAACAGAGCCTCGATCATACTGTCACAAAATTCAATGCTTTTTTGATGTCAATAGGTAGTGCATTCACTAGAGATTTCCATGCAACAGACCAGAGGATGTTAAAATGTGTAGTTTCCCTGAAGTACCCTCAGTAGAAAAGTTGGTAGCTAAAAGAAAAAGGAAGAAGACAAAAAAAAAAAAAAAGGAAATGCTGCAAACATAGACTTAATACAACACAATATTAAATCCTAGGAATGGGTTTTCATAACTGAATAGTACCTAAGTCATCCAGTACCTAAGAAAATAGTAAATGGAAACCTTAAAACTTAGTCAAAGTCTATTTTTACAGGATGACTTGTCACAAGCAAACCATAAGAAGCATATACATTTAATAATAGCTATATTCTTCACACCCCCTAGCCAAAAATAGACATCATTTCTGAATGAATTTTCTTCCCAGATTTCTAAAAGAAAGGATGTATATTATCCCACGCAGGTACCTTAAGTCTCCGTACAATCATTCTGCCTACCCAAGTAACTATGCAAGGGTCAGTCACATGGCAAGCCATTCATCAAAGACAAACTGCAGTGAAGGATTTTTTAAAAAACAGAAGGCAACACTCACGTGTCTCTTGAAATCACCCTGTTTTACTACTAGGTTCAGATTTAACACAATGACTCCCATGTCATCTTCTAAACTGTTTGGATCCTCCAGTTTTAAAATATGCTCAGTCGTTCTACAAGCAAAAAGGAACAAATGATGTTAGCCTTGGTCGGTCGCACTTTACAGCCTTGTGATACATCAGGAGCTTACGGTAAACGTCTCCTACTTCCAATGAGGGTGAGCCTCAAGTTACAAAAGCACCAAATTCAGTGAAAATAAATCATCTTCAGGGCAGAGAAACTGTTTGGCATGGCCTAATTCAACAGTTCTTCAGCTGAATTCTTTCCCGCTTGTACCCAAATAAAATGTAAATATTGGTTTTAATTTTAAGTAGATTAATGAGCCTGAATATCAACAGATGAAAGTACAAAATCCAATACATATTTTAGAACACATTACGGAAGATTTAATATCCGACCAGTATATAACTGGGAGCTAAAAAAGCAAAAATCAAAGAAAAACTTACACTGCTTTTGAAAAACTTACCTTTTAAAGCACTCTTTCATTTATTCAGATTCTATCTTGTCATTTGCTTATCTTGCGTTCCCTCTAAAATTCACTAATAACAAGTAGAAGCTAAAATTACAATACCTGTTAAGCTCAAGGTCACTGAGCAGGACAAAGGAAGAGCCCATGAAATCAGACGACGTTAAATCCCGATCATATACCTACAATGAGGGGGAGGCCAGTAACAAACACATTAATCAGGTAAACCAACTGGGTTTATCAAGTTATTAATAAATGCAATGGGCTGGGAATTTTGAATTCAGTCTTCTAGATCTAAAAATAACTCGTACGGTTAAAGAGAAATTTAGCCGAGACGATGGAGTGAACAAAATTATTCAAACCTGTGCGTTTTTCCTTACCAAGGCCAAAATAACAGCAGAAAATACGTTTAAGGAGGTATTCATATGCATTAAAATGTTATGCACAATGGACCACTCGCTGTAGTTTCAATGGTCTTTCATTAAAATTGAGAATTTTCCACAGTGAGCAAATCCGCCAATTAAATAGAAATTTGCTAAATATTCTACAGCAATCCCATTCTGCACTCAACTCATGCAGTTTTAACCCAGATGTTAGAGTAGTTGAAGCTTACAACCGGTAGCTTAAAGCTCTATTAAGTATAAAGTTATTGCTAATGAGAAAGGCTTCAGTACTTGTCACCACTGCACTGGCAGTAATAATTCTTCCACATTCAGTAAGTTTAAAAGCAATCAATGGAGAGATTATTTTCACTCTGATTGAGAGAAACATACAGTTTTGACAAAGGGTATAAAGAACCCCCTTCCATACTTAGTTTTTTAACCCAGTGCTGGGAATGATAAAAGAATTCCTTTGGGGAAGTTGACTTTTCAGAGGGCAAATATCGCTGAGAAAAAAAATGTTTTTTTTTTTAACACAAAAGCAGATTTGAAAGTCATCTGTGATTACCTTCACACGGAGCTTTTGATCAAGGCTTTGTATTGGCAATACAACTATCTCATCCCAAACGGGGTTCAAGTTCTTATATATGACTTTACTTTTGTACAGAGTCTTCCCATTCAGCTTAAATTTCACATAGGGATCACTCGTGCCTTTAAAAGAAAAAGAGAGCAAGACAGGTTTTAAAAATGTACGTAAAAGCCTCGGATCTCCGTTAAGTAAAGCTTTCTCTCCACACTCTCCAGGCTCAAGAGCACTTTGCTGCACACGCCCAGAACAAATGTCTCCCTGTGCGGAGACTGAGGGCCCCAGAGGTGGAGAGGAGAGAGCAACGAAACCACCTGGGGTAAATGACTGGTTAGTCTCTGCCTTCAGTGCCGGCATATAAACCGGCTCCTGGAGCTTTTTCTGTTTTGTTTCATTGTGGGGATGTCATCACTGCCCGACCCACAAAAATTCAAGAAATCAAATCCACCAGCTCCAGCCAACAGTGTCAGGAGTCCTGGGGGGAAGCCCAGCCCTTCCTAAGAATGGCAGTGAGTCAGTCGATGAAAATGGAAAGAAACCATTGCAGACATGTGGCCAGATGGCTGACTTGACAGAACCCGGTACTTTATAATAATAATCCATCCATCCGTCTCTGGAACCGCTGGTTTAAAAGATGGGGCGACAGAACTTGGACGGGAACCGGGGCGTAGAGATTAACCTGACAGGGCTGCCCATTCTTCCTCGCCTCCTGCACCTGCAGGGAAGCTGAGAACACTCCTCCCCACCCCCGGCCAGCTGAAGCCCCCATGAGCCGACACCAGGCCCGACATCCCTGACCCGCCGGCTCCTCCCGGGGAGCTTTGAAACAGATGCCAAAGGGAATGAATAATGTCCCACTAGCCACTCTGTCCAAAGCAGAAAGAAGGGCCGATGACGCGCCCTTCTCCACACTTTTCAGATCAACTGAGGAAAAAAAAAATTTGCCCACAAACACAGTGCGAGGATGATGTGTTGTGCATGTGTGTTACACGCATGCAAGCATGCCTTCATGCCAGGGACACACAACCCTGCCAGAGACACGCTTTCCATTAATCCCTCGTGAATGATGAGTAAAGAAGACACAAATGAATGATAATCCCTGAGGGCATCAATGAAGGCCGGCCGATAATGCTAGGACAGAAGAAAAAAATCCAATTTGGGGAGGTGTGCTAGTATAATTCATTGTGAAACTGACTGTGGACAAGCGCTCAAAGGCTAACAGTCTGTTTAGTTCGCTGACAAATTCCAGGTGCCTTGGCCAGGGCCCAATACAGACCTCCACCGATTTACCGACATGAGTTCTTGATATTAAAGTCAAGCTCATACAGTCTAAAAATATTACATCAATTATTACAGTAAGTAGGCTACTCTGCCACAAACATGGCCAACTCGTTACCACCCACCATTAATTATCTCAATCATCTTTTTCAGCTCTTTCTTCGGTTTTTATTTAGCGGCAGGAATGAAATGACTGAAAATGAACACAGTACACATCCCAACTCTTTTAAGTGGATGTAACAGCACTGGAGCAAGTAACACACATTGTTTAGAGGTCTTCATGGATTAACCCAGGTATCATTTTGATCACTCAGCCATTCCAGTACTGCAAGGCCACTAACTTTAAAAACCAAGAAATTAAACTACAAATATACACACATACTTCTCCAACTCTCACGTTTTAAGTGTGGAGGTAAGACATAGTAAACAATCATATGGTTACCCGGGGAAGCAGGTGGGAAGGGATAAATTTGGGAGTTTGAGATTCACAAATGTTAGCCACGAAACATAAAAATAGATTTATAAAAAACCCAAATTTCTTCCGTATCGCACAGGGAACTATATTCCATATCTTGTAATAATAACCTTTAATGAAAAAGAATATGAAAGTGAATCTATGTATGTATATGACCGGGACATCGTGCTGAACACCAGAAATTGACACACTGTAACTGACTATACTTCTGTAACAAAAGTAGATAAATCAGTTTGGCGACAAAGGGACAGAAACCCAGTCATCTTTTATCTTAAACCTGGACACACGCAGGCGCACCTGTGCCACGTTAAGCAGCAGTTCTGAGCAGGACAGTAAAAATGAAGGCATTCACAGCCGTTCAGTGCAACAGCCACAAGTGAGTGAGTCCACTGCCCACCCAGCCCCGTTCCCCTCCCCCCAGCTTTTATAGTCCAAGAGAACATCTCTGGCAAGTCAGATTTTAACAATCGTTTTGATATAGATATATAAAAAAAAAGTGAGGGAAAAACCATAATAAAAAGAGGCCTTTAATTAGATGAAATTGCCACTCTGGGATCAGGCCTTCATGCCTGTCAGCACGCTCTCAAAATAAACATCTCAAAACTAGGCCTCGGTGGTGTCACTTTCTCACAGGCAAAGCACACTGGGTAATCCCCAGGCATCTTGACAGCTACATAATGTTCAAGCTGTTTCACGGGTGAATGGCCGCTGTTGCGTGAAAGAAAATATTAATGTCTAGAATTCACAGAAAAAGGGACCAGGGTTTACCAAGCCAAACAAGCAAAGAGGGTGTCAAGTTAGTGCGGCGTTAATTGTTGGGGAAAATTTGAGAAGGGGGGGAGGGGGCACATGGTGATTTTTTTTTTCTCTCTGAGCCTAAGTGCCTCACTGTCAGGGAAGTGACATCTCAACTAGGCAGGTTCTGAAAAGGGGTCGCTGCTCGGGAATGCAGCTCCCAGATGGCCCAGATGACGAGATGACACCTGAATGGGTGGACTCTGACCTTTTTCACTGGGCGCTTCGTGAACAATGAGGCTCTGTGGAAGCGACAGGTAGTGTGGTACTTGGGGAGAGGGAAGCTAGGAGGCCAGAGGCTGTGCCTCCGTCCTGGGGCGGCCACCAGCTCTGCCACGTGGACTCAGCGGAGTCACACAGCTTCAAATTTAGAATATCCAGGCTTCTTAAGCATCAATGGCCAGCGTTTCCTGCTCCGTTCAAAATGCACTATGGTTCTCTGCATGCCGAGAGATTACCACCAGTCACCAGTCCTCCGACAAAGCTGGACCAATTTCCCCCGACAACAGGGTGTGACGGTCCTTATTTCTGCTCACGCTCGATGACACCTGGGACCGTCACAGCTCCCCTGACCCTGTAACTGTCAGGCCTGCCAACGTCGCTCACGTGCCACAAACACGGGTTGCTTCAGAGCGTGGCTCCAGGCTAGGGAATCTGGGCGATGACAGAGGAAGATGGATCCCACATCCTTTCCTTCTGCACCTGGCGGGCAGCGGGCAGACCATACATGTAACACAAGGCCCAAGAGGTAAGTGTCCGCATAGACTAGAAGTAGGGGGTTATGTTAGTTCACAGGGGGGAGAGATGAGCTCTAGCTGGGGTATCAGTGGAGGCTGAAATACGGGAGATGGGGATTGAAACACGGACGGGTCTGACCACACAGAGGAGGACTGAGGCCATTTCAGCTGGAGGAATTGGAACTGAAAGGGGAAAGAAGACAAGACGGCTAGATGTGTATGGTACTAAGCAAGCATTTCAATTTATCCAGAAATAAAGGGGAAAATATGTATATAATGAGAAAGTTTTAAAAAACCAATTTTGAGTCAGAGACTAAAGTAGCCTAAAATAGAAAAATCAGGAGCTTAGTTTTTGTTCTATAAGAAATACAGAGTGGTTTTATTTTCCTATTGTCTTTTGTTTTAATGTTTTCACAAGTGTGGTACATGCACATGACTCTGAAAGGTATAAAAAGAAAACTTGCCATAACCTTTCCTCATTCCCATTCCTCTAATGCACTAAGTGTTTGAGGGTTTTATCAAAAAAAAGAAAAACAAAACAAAACAAACAAAAAAAAACCCAGTTGTAATTATATTAAAATGCACTGGACTCATTGCATTCACAGTGAAAGTATTATGAATCTCTGTTCATATCAGCAATACAGATTCACCATTTTCTTTATCAACTGCATATATTTTCAACGTATTGTTGTACCTTAACTTACGTTAACAAATAACGAACATTGACATCACCTCCGATTTTTTTTTTTTTACTAGCGTAAACAATACTACAACAAGCATCCTTGTCTGACTATCTTGGAGCTCATACACGATTATATTCAAAAAGAACCACAGGGCAAATGAGTATTTGTCTTGTCTGGTTCTAACACCACTGTCAAATTGTTCTTCCTAAGTCTGTCAAAATTACACTTCCACCACAAATACATGTTTGCATTTCTTTTTCTTTACGTGCTCACCAACATTTGATGTTCTCAACTTTTATTTGAAACGAATGGCAGGTGAAAAATGTTATCTGTTTTTCTCTATCATTAACACGTTGAGTAAAGCTTAGGATCGTCATATTTTAGTGACCTACATCTGTCTGTCTTTTTCTATGGGCTCACGGTCTGTCTTTTGCTTATGGATGTGAATGGGCCCTTAATTATGAAAAGTACGCATTTTTGTGTTCATGTGTCATATACATGAAAACTTACTAGCCTTCCTAATTTGAACTAAAAACCCACTGCATTGAATGCAAAAGCTGTATTTGCAGACAAAACCTACTTACTTGCCATCAGTCAAGCTCAATCACCCGGTCAAAAACTTTAGCCCTACGGTCTCCAAAAGAAAGGTTGTCTTAAGCTAGAAAAGGCTCCTAATTAAATACATTTCTCAGAGCTGTTGTTTGTTCATGAAAGGAAATGATCTCCACATTTTTACAACCAAGTCCACATTCTGTAATCTCTCATCATTTTTGTCAGGAGATCTGTTTACAAGTCCAGTTTCAAGTCAGTTATTTACCAAGTCTTACAGGGATGCTGAGACACATGTAGACGAATTTATCCTGCATAAACAGTATCTGGAAACATAGGGAAAGTATAAATTTAACTTTTTTGCTACCCTCTGGCTTTAGAGTAACAAGTGGCTATTCATTCTAATTATACACATACATCTAGACGGTTTTCAATGCAGAATTTTTCTTCTTGCCAGAAAAAGAGCGAAACCTGAGTTGTTTTCACAGGAGCCCCCATCAGTTAGGACTCTCTCCGAGGCTGGCTTAAGTAAGGGGCCAGGCCTGATTTCCAGAAGAAAAGCTCCAGATCAAGTCCCGGCCAAGTGCAGCTCTCTTAGCCGACCCGTA